GCTATTGGGGATGCTCAAGATGTTCGTGAGTGAAACCCAGACCGATTGGGATATCTATCTGCCTCGAGTCTTATTAGCTTATCGGACTGCCTTTCATGAAGGTCTTGGAGACACTCCCTTTTCAGTTTGTACGGTCGTGACCCAATACTGCCAATCGACTTGGCCTTCCTCAACACCGGAAAGGACTGGAAGAGCAACGAGATTGCCACATACCGAAGAAAGGTGTATCTGTCGTTACGTGACTCAAGGCGCCTGGTGGAACGACAGCTATTGAAAGCCCAAGATCGTCACGAGCAGCGGTTGAATAAGCAAGTCAAGGTCACGTACGAAGTAGGCGATCCCGTCTGGGTCTATCAGTTCTTCAGGGCAAAAGTTGGCGAAAACAAGACGAAGAAGTTGGCATTCTCTTGGCACGGTCCGTACCGTATTGTCGGCCAAGTCGGGGAGAATGCTTACAAGCTCGCAATCCCTAAACACCCCGACCGGGTCGTTGCTGTGAACGTGAATCGGTTGAAACGCTTCTGTGGTCGCTGGAGTAGACCGTTCGCGGACGAAGTGCCCAGAAGAATAGCCGAGAATGTGGCCAGTGGGAGTGCTACCGGCGAGAATGTGGCAGCTGGGAACGAGACAAATAATGATGCAACCATCGAGGATGAGGCCGAGAACGAATTGCTATTGGAGGCGGGACCTCTACAAGAAGAAGATTTGCATCAGTCGAGTTTTGTAGAACGAGTATCTATCGGGGGTGAAGAGACAGCTTTCACCGGCGTCTCGTCGCCCATCGTGGACGTCGTTGCTAAGAAAGTGGATAAGGGCGAGCTGCAGTACCTAGTGCTGACGACTACGTACGAGACCTTTCGGCTACCTCGAGCTGCGCTGTTCCCGAGTTCGGAACCATGATAAGCGTCTTTGAGGAAGCGGACCGCAAGAAGAAGGGTCTCCCGGAGATACGTCGGAGCGTCAGGCTGGTTGAAGCCAACGCTGATGTGGACGACGCGGAAGTGTTGTTCTAACTGGTCCTCTAACTGGTTGGAACGAGTGGAGCTGGACCGCTTCACTCTTGTTGGTGTTTGGGTACGAGTGAGTCTCGAAACATTGGACTGTATTTTGCATTTACATATTGGAACGCTACGAAAAGGGACACTGGGAAAGTGACAGGGGTATCGACGGAGCACTAGACCCTTTGGCGGGATGGTTATGTCCAGGATTGACAAAGTTGGAACGAGGAAAAGTTGTCACGAGAGATGATATCGACTAGCTGGACAACGAGGAGCGGTAAAGACTTAAAATGCGGAGATTAAACGGATATATTCGAGACGAAAAGACAAGAAACGGAACGAGGAATGAGAACGACTCCGAATAAGAGGCTACTTCTTGGTGGTCTTCCCCTTGTCGGCTAAAACCTTCTTGGTAACGACCTTCTCACCATCTTTCCCGTCGTCGGCCTCAGTCTTATCCTCCTCGTCATCGTCTTCGTCGTCTTCCTCCGATTTGTACTCCTCTTCGTCGTCGTCTTCGTCGTCGTTCCCAGCTTCTTCGTCGTCGTCCTCTCCGTCGTCAGCATCGTCATCGGCACTAGGGAAGTCAGCGGTAGCGGCGGTCACGACCGTGGAAGTTGGAACGGCCGCTTTGGCCTCGTCTTCGCCGTCCTCTTCGAGATCGGACCAGTCGGCACGTCGGCGCTCCGTCTTGGTCGGTCCCCTAACTTCGGGGAGCTGGTACGAGCCACTCTTCAACTCGGTTGCGACAGTCAGCTGGGTTTGCTTCACCAGGGCGTTGTCCATAAGGGTCTTCCAAGGCTCGTCACTAGTGGACCCCACCCATGTGTCACGAGGCGTCGCCGAAGACTGGAGGTCCAGCCGAATGCGCGCCAAAGCCACCATGGAGAGTCGATTGGCCGACTTGGCCGTAGGGACCAAAGCCTCGGCTGTCTCTAAAAGGACGCGAATACTCGGATACCCATACGCATCGATCTGCACGGGCTCTAGAGCATTGTCAATGGTAGCCTGGTATCATTCCGGATCCTTGTCCTCGTGCGAAGTTAACGTGTCCGCGAGGGGTCCGTCGTAGTGCAGGCACTTCTTGTTGTCACGATCGGGCTGACCTCCCATCCAGAACATTAGAGGGCACTTGTCAAGGAGCGTGAGGGATCCGTAGAAGCCCCAAGTCTCGATGCACAAACTAATGAAGGCCACTCGAGCCTGTACGGCGCGCATCTTGGCCTTACGACGATTATTCTGCGCCGTCTCCGACGCCAAGGGCGCGTACAGGGCCCATTCCCAGAGCGCTCGACGGTGGGACATCCAGAAGCGCCAATGACCCCGATAGATCGCGCGGAAACGAAGCGGGTTGTACCACTGCGGACGTCCAGTCCAAGGATAAGCAATACACCAAGGCTTCTTCCCGGCTGCTTCCGCCTTTGCCAAGATGAAGTAGACTGCCGCCTTTACAGAGTCAGGGGCATCGAGGTTCAAGTCAACCAGCGCCTTGTACTCGGCAGAAGGAACGAGCGAAGACGTCGGCTTGTCACTGCTCCGCAGCTTCTTAGATGACTTGATTGGGGGTGGCCCGTGGCGAGTTTTCCGCTTCCCGCGAACAGGCTTCTTTGCCGACGAAGTGGAGGAGGAGGTAGACGATTTAGCAGGCGTGGACGGCTCGGGCGAGACTCCTGACGTTGACGGCATAGCTACCACGGGACCGCGCAATGCGATGGAGGGTCAACCTTCCATGAGATCGTCGACCAACCGCTCCATGTGCTCCAGACCAGTGGAGAGGCCGTTGCCGCCCAGGTGCGCCTTCAACGCGTCCCAGAACTCCCGCTTGATGGTCTTAGCGTCGTCCCCTGGCGTTCCATGCTCGTCATACTCTAGGGCCGCGTCGAAGAATCGCTTGAACCGCCGGCGCTCCGCGACAGTGAGACGCTTGGACATGCTGGCTGCTGAGAAGTTGTAGCTGGGAGGTGTTCTACGTGGAGATTGTTGGAAACTGAAAGATGCGTCGCATTTGCTCGGATGGTGGCTGACGGACGTTGGAAATAGGACGCCCGCGACGGGGTGCAAAAATGGAACGAGATGAAAGGAAACGACTTGGGCGACACTGACGCTACTTGGGAAGGGGTGTCAACGGACGACGCCCGGAAGACCTTTCCTAACTGACGATGTGCCAGTCTGAAATGATGGAAGTGCTGAGGAGCTGGTTCGATGGAATCGAAGCGGCGGCTCCAGTCGTGACGTTCCCGGAAATCGAAACAGGAGCTATGGTGGTCTGCGCCGTAGCTGGGATAGCAGTGTGGGTGGTCACGACGCCTTTACGCAATGTGGGATGGGCTTTCAGTGCAAGCCTGGTGGACTGTGGCTCTACCGTCTGCTTCTTCTGGTATACTTGTAGTGACCGATTTGTCACTACCGTCCGTGGAGCCAACGCTCAAGAGCTGCACCCGAGAGAATATGCGTGCACTTTGGTCACGCTGATGTTCCTCGTTCCCATGGCTGTGTTAAGAAAGTATGAACCCCGCTTCGGCACTTTCGGACTGTTGTGTCTCAGATGGTGTGAGGCGTGGCACCACTCGATCTGTCTCTTCGTTCCAGATGTGATGCAACTTGTGTGGACGTCGTGCTGTCGTTACACGAAGGCGATAGCTGAGGCTGCGGTTGCCTCGATCGATCGAGTGGGCGAGTACCTGATGGGCGCGTGTCTAGTGGGACAACTGTTATTGTCGCTTGTGTTTTACCTGCCTAGAGTATTTTACGAAGGCGTGGAAGGTGCCCTATGTGGTTGGATGGGTGTCGCCTTAGCTACCCTAGTGGTGGACGTGGTACTGGTCGCGAGTCTAATTGGGGACGTGTTCATCTTGGTACTGGGCTGTTATAGCCACGCTACGCGGTACTACTGGGCGTCGCGGGTAAAGACTGTCGACGGCTCTGGAATTGAGGCCGCACAAAAGGGGTGCGCTAAGCTTGAAAGTCGGAAGGAGCTACGAGAAAGGAGAGAGAGAGCTAGCCTCGACCATTTGCGTGCAGGTCCTAATGGTACGACCTCGGTGGCGCAAGAAAATTCGGATTCGACTTCGATTGGAACGAGGTCGATCGTTCCAGATCTGCCTGTCGACTCGGCGATTGGACCTGCTGGAAAGGATGAGGCTCGGCGAGGACTCCGAGCGGCAGTCGGGGAGAAATGTCCAGTCTTCGGCTAGAGGAAGGACTCGCTATTCTGGACGACTGCCTACGCCAATTTAGCGAGCGGCGTAAGAAGAGTGACAGGCCCGATCAGTCTCGTTCCCCGTCGCCGGCTACCTCGTCCCTAGTCTAAAACGGAACGAAGGCGTCCAGACAGTGGTAAGCTGACTCCGTTTACGAACGACAACTAGAGGTACTGGTGCTGGTAGGAGGTACTTTGGCTAGGTAGAGAGCTGGTGAGAGAGCTCTCAGTCGTGAATTTCCTTCTTTTACGAGAAGTGCTCAAGAAAAACAAATAAGAAACAAGTATATTTTACACATTTAATACGTCTAAGTTCCTACGTCGGCTTTCGCAAGATACACGACCCCGACAAGAGAAGGAGACCGCGACAAGGCACTTGTGGGTTTTCGAGATTTGAGGCCCATGACACCCATCCCATCGGGAATGTAAAAAACGGGGGCAAAATGGTTTTTTTCTTGAGGGTGTTTTTTTCTGCAAGAGCCGGATCTTAGTTTGTTTGAATAAAACTTTGACATTATGGTACCGGTAATGTATCGTGACTAAACACGTAAACATAGTGACAAATACCTGTACTCATGTTGGTTAACAGCAGCTTTTTATGTAAGAACTACGAAGTATTATAGTACCTGTAGCCAATAAATGAAGTTAAATGATGTGCCTGTGAAACCGGCACCGATCAGAATATGTACACCACCGTAGAGTACTTTTATCAATTCGGATGAACATGATTATAAGCACACATTTTCTTTTGCTCTACCAGTGCACAACCTTCAGTGATATCCGCCCCTCAACGCTACGACAGCATGCCTCTTTACAAGATGTTCCTCATGGCCATCATGGCAATTTTGGCGAGCGCTATGGCATTTGATGGAAAAGACGCCATTCTACGGGATTCTCTGGCTGTTGGTGGCTCTCCTGGGAACACTGACAGTCTCACGTTCCCTACAAGGCTATTGAGAAGTACCAAATTATCGGAGGATGAGGAGGTGAGGGTAGGACTTCTTCCTTTCAAGGAACCAAAGTCGCTAAAGCTCCTTAAACTAGCAAGCGAGGGACAATCTGCCCCCAGCGCATTCGCTAAACTACAGCTCGCCAATGGAAAAGGTAACGTTATTTCGAAGTCTGGGTTTGGCACATGTTCCAGTACGTCAGAACGATCACCAACAAAAACGACTGGGAAAAGGCAACACTTGAGGTTCTCTCAAAGCACTACACGGACGCAGCGCTGTTCGGTATGATTTAAAGGGATAAGATCGGGAAAAAGAAAGAAATTGCGGTTAAGCTGGAGAATGCGCTGTTTGGTAAATGGTTCGACAATCACTTCTGGCCAGCAGATGCGATGGAAAACGTGTTCAAGGTCAAGATAGAGACTATCAAGTCTAAACCGTACACATATGGAATTTGGAGCGCATACAGCAAATACTTCTACGAGCGGCGTCCAGACCTGAAGGTGTTCTAGTGAAGGGCATTTACTTGCCATAGTGACTCTAGGTTACCGAAAGCCTGCACTGCAATCTGTGGAGGGTATTTTAGGTAGCCTCTCAAGTCGCAGATTGCACATGAAGGGACGCAATGGCAACGTAACGGACTTGTACTAAACCTGCACATGCTATTTCCTCTTTGCTTGTTGGTGGACCCTGCGTATTTGTCACGTCACCGTCGAATCTTCGATCCTGTTTCGCCGCAGCCTTTCACCGTACGTGTTGATGACGCCGGCTGCTATAGATGCGAGCTTGGACGACGACGAGCTGCGACCGCCAGCGCGTATCTCCGACAGTCCACAGCCACAAGTATATGAAAAACCTCTCGCACTGGGGTGCAACCACATCAAAAATGGAGGTCATAAAGCTGATGAGGAACAGGGCACACCACCGCCAGTAGCTCCTAGTCCCCGCGGGAGTGCAACAGCTCAGCCACCGGCAGAGCCTGGCGTTCGTGTGGTAGCAGATTTGCTTCGTGCTCCCACCGCCGAGGCACAAAAGAGTCAATTGGTGATGTCATTTGGAGTATTTATGCTGTCGATATCTCTGGGAGCGAGTGCCTTGTGTTTCTACGACGAGATTCTCGAGGCGACGGGGATTCAGAGCGGCCTCTTGTTAGGGTCAGTTGGGTCCCTATCTATGTGTGGTGTGATCATTCTTTCCTATCTCAGTACCAAATGGTATCGCCGACACATGCACATTTTACTCCTAAACTTAGCGCTGTGTGAGTTCTGCCTCGCGATTTCGTTTCTCCTAGAACCAGCATGGAATCGACTAGGGGCTGGCGTAGGGAGCGATCTCTCCTGTCGATGGGTACGCTACAGTCTTGCTTTTGACACTCCATTGTATTGTCCCTGACCCTTCAACTTTAACAGCTATCGACAGCACGAGAGTACCTTATCATGTGCTCCAGCGCCTGGACGACCTGCACAGCTCTAGATTTATATTATTTGGTACGTTTCAAATCGCTAATTTTTATTCTGTTTCTAAATCTTAATCGCTTGTGGGGAAGATGACAAACCCATTCACGTCTCCGCGATTGAATCGCCACAAATACCAGGGAATTGCACACGTCACAGCCCTCGCAAGTGCAGTCATTATGTGCGTGTCCAACAGTTTCGGATCTCCCGTCGCGGTGGGGAATTTCTGTTGGGTAGGAGCCGATACTCAAGCACGAAGCGACCACATCAGCTACAAGCAGCCAAGTGGGTCGACCACTGGCATTTGGGTCTTCATTGTCACTCCCGCTACCATCTCGATGGTCGCCAACCTGTACGTGACGTTGGTGTCGTATGGACGATTGCGACGAGGTGTCTCCGCAACTCTTCGAAACAGACGAGTATTGTTACGCGAGGGGTTTGTGACGACTGTAACATTGATTGCCTACTCTGCCTTGCTATGGGGAGTCTATGGAGCCTATTGGCTCACTCCCTCAGCCACACAAGCTCGACGACTCTCTCGGTTGTTTGCATTCTTACTGTCGTATCGTGGCAGTGTTCCTTTCATCTTGTGGTGTCTATACAAACATCCACAGCACAAGAAACATAAAGACAAGTCTAGCGTGGTAGCCGACGGGACTAGGACTCCAAAGCTCTCGAGTGTCGAGGACGAGGACGAGGAAGATGACGACGCTGTCCGGCCTCAGATGAACCTGGCTCTGCTAGACGAGCTCGTGTTCTACACCACTCACGGTATCGCTAAGGCGGTGAGGATAACCAGTACACTGGGACAGTACCCGTCTCCTTCGAGCTCTCCTGTCGAGCAGATAGACCATCACTCTGAGCACGGACCAGTACAGTACTCTTTCATGGTGCAGCCATCACCCGAAGACGCGGCTTTGCACCAGTGTCGGTTTACAGCGTTTCATCCGCTGGCATTCCAGCGTATCCGGCGTTTCTACGGCATCGACGACGACGCGTATCTCTGCTCTCTACGGTCCTGTACGACACCCAAAGTGAGCGAAGGAGCGAGTGGCTCGTTCGTCTATTACTCGTCGGATCGCAGCTACGTCGTCAAGTCCTTGACACGCTCGGAAAGTGGGTTTCTGCACAGCATTCTGAACGAGTATACTGTATACATCGAGGAGCAGAGCGGCGAGAGCTTCCTCACGCGGTTCCTCGGCAGCTATTGCCTCGAACTGTATGGGCGTCCGACGTTCTTTGTGGTCATGGAGAACGTCTTTGACGTGCAGCAGGGCATCTCCATCCACCAGCGCTACGACATCAAAGGATCGTGGGTGGATCGCAACGCCCAGAAACCTCGTCGAGGCGCCGAAGCCACGTGTCGCCACTGCAATCTCAGCTTCCGTTGCGGTGGCTCAGCCACTCGCTCGAGCACTGTGGGGGGCGACAGATCGCGCCGCAACGTCTGTCCCAATCGCGCGGGAGCTCCACACGAGCCCAATGTGGTGCTGAAAGATATGGACCTCACGATGAAGTTGCGCTTCGGCAAGAAGGCAGGACGGAAACTGCTCGCGCAACTTATGCGGGACAGTGACTTCCTGTGTGCGCATGGCGTCATGGACTACTCGCTGCTTCTCGGGCTGATTGAAGTGAGCTATTTAGTGAATCGACACAACATCCTCACGAGAGACGGGAGTGTCTTCCTACCGCCCGACAGCTTCACAGAGAAGCCAGGATCTCCACGGAAGCCGTCTGACGGTAGCAATAGTACAGTAGGGACCTCTGAACGGGTCAAGCAGTCGACGCAGTGTCTGCGTGCTGCCGAGGTGGTGATCGGGCCGGGCTTCTACTACATCGGGGTCATCGACATGCTGCAGACGTGGAATTGGTCGAAAAGACTCGAGCGATTCCTCAAGACTGTGTTGTTTAGAAAAGACCCAGATGGGATCTCTGCGATGCCACCCAAGCCGTATCGAGATCGGTTTCATCGTAAGCTGCGTGAGATCATCCATCTGGGTCATAACTCGAGTATTGTACCCTCTTCACCCGCCACCGTTGACAACGTGGGTGGATGCAAGGAGGACATGTACGGTGGTGACGCAAAGAGAGAAGATAGGCAGCTCGGAGACGACGAGTACGATCGCATGACTCACATCAGACCACGCGGGGTTGCCCTGCCTTCTACTACCCACACGTCGACACCGAGTGGTAAAGAAGGTCAGCACTCGCGAACGGACAGTGGAGAGATCCCCATAACTCCCTCGGCTCAAGGACGCGTCCTCGGGAGCAGCTTGTAATTGATAACGATAACGATCGTTGACGAGCAATTTGTTGAACACTATTACGATCATTGTACAGCACTTCTTTCTTTCTTATTTCCTAAGGTTGTCGATAAAAAGTTGTGTTCTGAGGTAGTCATTGTCATTGCCAATTGAAAGCTACGGAATGTTTACAATTGAAGCAGTTGTGGTCGCTCAAAAATATTATCTCCATTTTCGGGGACGATATATTGAGGACTGTTATGAGCTCATTTTTTTCAATTTGTGAGATTTAAGTGTTATTTAAAAGCTCTAGCTTAAACCAAAATTAGTTTTACAGTTTTTTCGGTGGATAGTTACATCAAATGTAGTTTTACAGTTTTTTCGATGGATAGTTACATCAAATGTAACAGCTCGTGTTAAGTGCGAAAATTAACAGGTCAACTTTAAGCTCGATTACCGATAACTTTAAATTTACATGCAACGAATTAACACGTTTTTAGTTTTTTAAGCATGGAGTGTCTAAGAACCTACTAAGTGTGCGCACGCTATGGGAAAGCCTAACATGGTTGCATCGTTTATTTTATCGCTATTGACAAGCTTAGCATGTTACTCCTCCACGTACGTAGTGATATATCGGAGATAATCGAAACACGTTTCGTTATCTATAAAGATATTAGTAGCGAATTTCGAGGATTAGAAAGCTCCTCGGAATTGTTTTCCATACGCATCTGTATTTAGCTTGAAACGTATTGAGTGAATATCAGCTAGCATTCCTCAAGCGATTCTAGTAGGATGCTCTCGCTGTTCGAAGATTCTGAGTCCTCCGTGGTTTGCGTGGTCTCCGCACTTGCCATGTGTTCATTGTCATTGATGACATCACCGAGAGCCTCCCAGTCTGCATCCTCAACACTCTATGGAAACGATTGAATTCTAGCTAAATCGACTAAGCTTGCAGGAAGCCTTCCACCTGAATTGAATTCACAAAACTATTGTCATCCGTCAAGCAAATTATTACTTACAATAAGCTTTCGAGAAATACGGCTCACCCTCCAAAACGCTTACTTATCCTGTATATGGCGCGCAAGCGTTATCCAGTTCCACAAAACGCTTGACGCTCAGCATGGACACTTCATCAACAATAAAAAGGCCGACATCATTTGTGAACGGGACCCGCAAACGCTCTAAGGTGGCTCGATCCAGAATTTGGGATCGGCCAATCTTTATTGCTGACAGCTGGATGTCCTTTCTGGAACTCCAGCTTGCAAAGTTTGGTATGTGAAGACAAGGAGACGTGAACTACTGGAAGCGCGTGCATTGTTCCAGCAATCGCAAGCTTTTTTCTCACCAACACCGTTCCGAATTATGTCGAGTGTAGCAGGAAAACCTCACGGTGTTTGTAAGTTACCTTCGGTACGCTCTGCAGGTGTTTGATGGTCCGCCGATGAATTGGGCCAGTTTAGACCGATTACGAGCTCAGTGCGTGATGCCGTGACGCACCCAATTGTCTCTGGATGATGTAATTTAGGATCCCGCATGGATGGATGACACTACAATTCTCGTAACTAGCAACAGGAATAAAACATGTCTACGCGATGTACAGCTGAATTAGACGCAAAGTACCACCATCAAATTCTCTTACTAGCAGTAACGTCAGCATGAGGATGATATCGCCGACACAGTAAAACGATTAGTTTATAAAGGATACAAACCTGGTATGTTTTGACTTTTTCGTTACTGGTGCTCCAGGACAAGTTTCGGACAACTGCAACGGCATTGTTAGCTGGGGTGTCGCTAACGGCACACCTTGTCGATAATGTTCACGACCATGATAAAAATCGCTGAAGCAGTGAGATTGACTAAAACCTAAATAACACCTTTGTCGTCCACTTGCCATGGCCTCCAGAATTCATTAGCCTCGAGTTGCTGGATTAGGACGGTGATGTTCTATCAGGGAGAAATTGGCCGGAAGACGCCAGTCTTCAAACGGAACGGATGTGTAGCAGCGATAGTGAAGCAAGACACAAAAAGTGTTTTAATTCTATCGGTATAGCGAAATAAACCATGAGCAAGCACAACATAAATATTGGTCGTGGTGTCATTGAGAGATCATTGCGGCTCATGTATGAGCAACACGCTGTCGATTTGGGAATGGTAATGACTGTTTGGAAAACACAAGGCTGTACTCTACTACGAGCTCGTTTTATTTAGAAGGACGTTGTGACGTGCCCAAAAGGGGCTTTGAGCATCTTTATGTTGGCGTATATCACGTTAAATGAGCAGATTATGTTCGTGTCGAGAGCATTTAAAAGAACGCGAATTCGCGCGCTACAACTAAACGTATTCAGTACTAGATGGAGGACGGAGCATGAGAAGCGGTGAGCAATCAGAACGTTTTGTTTCCTGCTCGTTTTAAAGTACTAAGTTATTCTTTGCTTTGCATAAATGTATTATCGCCCCCCAGGATTTACTTTGGTCACATTTAATGAAGATTTAACTATCAAAAAGAGAAAGCTATGCTTCTACATGTATGTGTTGATGCTTCACCTATATACGATACAAAGTATCCAATACAGCTGTAGATAACAAATTGATTATTGGCGATATTTGTTCCCAATCACCAGCGATACAGTGTTGTCAGCGATGCCCATTACCTTCATATACCCTGTTATAATCGAAAATGTGTTTTCGTCGGAATCCTTGCCAATCTCTAGAATCTCTATAATATGCATAAAACTCCGTGACGGCTAACAAGAGAGGAGTACTCTTCTGGTGCCATGATGTGTTTAAGCGTACATACACAAACCAATCGTTTATGACTGTTTGCTAAACGTGTTACGACTTACAAAATAAAGGAATCTCTACCGTCTGATATAGCGTCTTGCCCATTTTCGAGGTATTTCAAATAGTATACCCGCTCTATCGAATCATTTACACCTTAACTTTCAGTTATTAATAGCCATTATGCTGCTACATTTTTTTCTCTCGACTACAGGACAGTATGACCCCCAACCGCCTTGCGAAAGCTAGCATCGCGAAACGAATATAGAAACGTTTTTTTTTTTTTGGGGGGGGGGCAAAATGTACCTTGCAAGTCTCTTTACTGCTTGAGGTACATCAAACTCGAATTTAGCCATTTAAATCTTTAACATTTGAATTATAGATAACCTTTTCAAAGAGGCTAGGTTTTCGCGGGGCATTGGATAACTTAGTGTAAGGGCTGATCAGGATTGACCAAGCCTGCTTTAACACCGAAGCCGCTTCAAAGCTATAATATCAATTACAACAATTAGTATATCATAGCGCAAAAGGATCTTTATGGAATAGTATGTCGTTTATTATTTGGTAGAACCCAATTAGTATACCTGCACACCTTGCAACCTCTATCCAACGCTATATTTTTAATAAGTGGGTGAGGCCTCTGTAGATTAAACTGCTCCAAGGGACCAAGCACCAGAGAATATCGTCAGATGAAGACAGATTTACCGGGATACTGTCTCTTCTTGGAAAGAGGATACGTTTAATAATACCGTCTCCTAGGATTTCCTTTGTTGATTTGCTGCTTGTATTCTTGGAGGCAAATGTCGAAGAAAGAAGATTAGTGTTCCCCGAAGCTCTCCTACATGTATTTCTAAACACTATCCCTTTTTTGTCACCCTTGTTGTCTTGTAAGTGTTTGTGCAAGCACCGCTGTTGTCGTACCTGAACCATCCATACTGTAGCTTCTGGTAATTGCCCAAGCACAATCGTTCCTGATCGCGACGTAATCCGATCTGGGACAAAGCGGGACGGACCGTAACCCGATCGACGGTCTGAACCGTAACCAAACCATGCGATGGCGGCGTACTTCAACACTCCCACTCACCGTTACTGCACGATGGCATTCTGCGTGATGCTACTTGTGCCACGCAGATACTTCAGTGTCTTCGTCCCGAGACCCTTCGTCAACATGTCAGCAAAATGATGCTTGATGTCAACATAGTTAAGTTCGACCGTTCCCCGTTCTACGCTCTCGCGCGTGAAGTGGTGTCTGCTGTCCACGTGCTTAGTCCGCGCGTAATATCCAGCGCTCCTAACGCAAACAGCCAACGCGATTGCACCCTGATTACCTTCCAAGCTAAATGTCACTCCCACTTTCTCGCGACCCACGTCCTTCAGCTTAGCACGCGTCCCGCATGCGTACAAAGGCTCAGAGACAGGTAATCTGCATCATATGAGCTGAGCGTGACCGGCCTTCGGAACTTGAACTTAGATTCCACCGGTGCGTCTCCGATCATCAAGACGGCCCCAGACACCGATCGCGTATCGTCGATGTTTGTTCCCTAGTCAGCGACAGAGAAGACGACGGCCTCAATATTCTCCGTCACATGTTTTTTCTACCTGCGTTTTTTCGCTCTATCATTTTCCGTTCCATAATTTTCCGACCTGCCTTTTTCCGTCCTGATATTTTCCATCCCGCGGTTTGCCGCCCAGGTATTTTCCGTCCCCCCTGGTATACAATTACTGCTCGGGCGTCGTCTTTAAGTGCCTCAACACTCGTATAGCACTTCCAAATTTGCGCGCGACTGCTCAAGACCCCAGCCGAGAGAAGGAAGCGCTCAAGAACAAAGATCCCGGGGGGCGTTTGGAAAGACGCGAAACCCCCGGGTCATACAATCTTCAAGTACTATTGAAAGGTTGCGTCGAAACGGACGGAGATCAACGAGGGACTGAATGGAGGCAACAGGATCGGACGAAGGCCACATGGGAGGCAGAGGAATACACATGCAAGGAGGAAAAGGAGAAGATGATGAACAGGAAAATAAAAAAGGATGGAAGACAGTGGTGCACGGAAAGCATCAAGCAAGCATGGGCGGCTCGGTACGAAAGATCAACAGGAGCAAGAGAGCAGGGGAAAGTGGGAACGAAACCAGAAACCAGCAAGCGTAGTCTACCAGGAGGGACAGCCGCACGAGGAGAGAGACCAAGGAGAACAAATGGGAGACAAGGAGCCCCAGACTCAGGAGATGGGGTTACAGTGTACGCCCAACTGCGTTCAT